GACCAGGATCCACCTCCCTGAGGTTTCCCTGAGGGCAGGCTGCTTAAGCTCATCCTTCCATGCTGAGCAGTGCTTACATTTCTCTCTTGTTTGTTTGTTTTTGGTTTTGACAGGTAGCAGCACAAAGTTTTGCCGTTGCCACCCTCCCCTGCACTCTCCGTGGAAAGGATTCAAATTTATATCTTCACTTTCCTCCCTCTCCCAGCTGCCTCTCCATCACTCAGCTGTAGATTGCCCTGAGGAAGGCTGCTTGCTGCCCACCTCCAGCAGCATTTCATTTTCATGCAATGATTAAGCAGCTACACTGAAAAGGGAGCTGAAAATGAGAATAATTTGCTAGTTGTGAGGCTAAAGACTAGAGAAGGGGGCTGGGTTACAGGCCCCATCTATCTCTATGACTTTATTTTATAAAATCCTTAATTAACAGAACAAGAATTCACACATCCCATGTCCCACATGCATATGTTATCACTGAGTCACTGAATAGTTAATTATTTCATACACATCGGAACAATATTAATAGAAAGGAAGAAGTTTTTTCTTCTTGGTAGTGGCTAGCAATAGAATTAGGGGTAATGGGTACAAATTGAAACACAGGAAGTTCCATCTCCATGTGAGGAAGAACTTTCCTGTGAGGGTGACCGAGCCCTGGCACAGGCTGCCCAGAGAGGTTGTGGAGTCTCCTTCTCTGGAGATCTTCCAAACCCGCTTGGATGCCACCCAGTGCCACATGCTCCAGGTGTCCCTGCTGGAGCAGGGGGGTTGGACTAGATGGTCTCTAGAGGCCCCTTCCAACCTCAACCACTCTGTGATTCTGTGATGACACTTTGTAGAATACCATACAGCTAGAGGTTAGAACACAGTCCTTGGATATGAGGATTAGTCGTGGGACAGGAAATAAATGAAGTCACACATGCCGTGTGAATATTCCCTAGTTGATTCCTGATGCATGTTACCTCCTGCACTCTAACTTGAAAGAAAAGATGGCCGCTACCGGCTGCAATAGGGAATCCAATTTGGCCAGTGTGCTCAGAATAAGCCCACAAGACTAAACCAGTGAGCTGAGGAAAGGCGAAGCAGGCGCGTATTTTCTCACTTTTAATGTCCGTTGTCCAGCAGCTGAACCTTAGGTGCCAGCTGGGCTTTCATGTTGGTCAAAAAAAGAAAAAAAAAAAGATAATCCAAACCCAAATGACACCCCCACAGATTGCATTTAAAGAAGAGTTTTGAAAACATTAGCTATGAACACAGATACTCATAACAGATATTCAAATGACTGCAGCTACATATACAGAGATAAAATACAGAAAATATTAATTAATTTATTTATTTGCCAGTTTTTTATATTGTTTAATATTATGCAATATGGCCATCTTTCTTACAATTTTACAAAGCAATAAAGGTTTTGGGTTGGGGAGGGAATGTGTTTTGCTTTCAAAGAAGTAAGTTAATTTAGGGTGAAATTTAGAAATATGGCTTTCCCAAGCACTTCAGGTCTCCAGATGCATTTAGAGCTTCTGAATCATGCCATCCCTCTGATACTGCGAAACAAGCTTCCATGAAAAAGATCTTTAACAAGAGGTCATGGTGAGAAGACAATCTATCTCAATCTACATGGGTTTTTATGCTTCAGGAGAACAGTGTGTTACTGCTGCAACACTTGATTTTTTTTTTTCTTTTTCGTTTCCCAGGAAAACTGTAGAATGGTTCTTTTCCTAAAAGAACCCTGTTGAGTCACAAATTATTTAATTGGAGGTGCTATGAGAAGAGTGTGTGCAACACAGCTTTCTGGATATTAAAATGTGTGCTTCCCTAATCCTAAAACTGGGATAGAAGTCTTCAGTGTGAAAACCAGGAACACCCTAAAAGGAATAGGAAATTTCTAATGGGAGTTTCTCTGTCCAAAAATGCCAGATTTGAATTACTGTATATGTACAGGAGAAAAACAATATGGTCTTGGGGCTCCCCTTGATTTCAGTTTGAGTGTTACTTGGAGAATCATATACAGTGCTTTATTTGCACAGTAGATTAGGTATGTACTGACGGAGCTAACTCCATCATACGGAGACAGGGCTCCGTCAGCAGCTCTGCACTTGTGGTTAACATACTAACTGAGTACCGTTGTATTTCCAGGTTACCGTAACATTCCTCTGTATTCCAAAGCTGGTGACAGCCTGGATCCCGCATCGCTGTTTGTTAACATCTGGTACTACTAAGGAGGCTCCGCCGTAGCAGTAGGTTCGAAGCACCACCCTGCTCAATAAAGCAGACATCACAAGGCTCGCAACAACCCCGTGGTCTGATTTCCAAGGTGCCCTGTTTGTTCCCAGGGATTTTATTAAGATATTGGGACTTCTCGTGTGAGTAAATGGGACCCTAAAGAAGTAATGGCTCCAGAATTCAGCCCTACTGTAACTTAGGAATGATTCAGAAGGATGGAACTTTTTGAGGAGGTTTTGTTGAATTCAGTTAATAGTTTTATTTGAAGCTAATTGCAAAATTATGATTAATTACTGAATGAGAATAATGGTTTAATATTTATGATACAATATTGAAAAATTATGACCATGTTACAGTGATTTTTTTTAGTTATACTGAGCAAAAGCTTTAATGATTGTACAATCAGTCTTTTCAAAGAAATGGAAGAAAATGGCATGTACAATTTACCCTTTAAATTCATAATAATGACAGCTTTTGATTGGGAGATAACGAATTAATTTCCGTTTTAATTTTGCTACCTTCAAAAAAGAACAGTCTTGAGGGAAATAGCTCCTTAACATGACAGATGCTCTTGGTACTTTTTCTCAGCCTAGTCTTGAGCGTCCTACTGTTAAAGATAGATAAGTAAGTCATGAGGTGATTTGTACGGGGCTCTGTTCCTCATAGCAGCAGGGAGCTTGGGATACACCTTCCTGTCAGCTCAATAAATAGGGAACATAATGGGCAGCTTTGAGGTGGACTAGAAGAAACAGTGTAGAAAATGCAGGGGTAAATTCTGTGATTTAAGGTTTCTCAGGGCAACTTCATGCCTGACATAACTACCTTGTACATAAGACAGAAATTTCCCACCTTCCTTGGAAAACTAAGTATTGTTGAGCTTCCACAGGAGCGTATCCACACAGTTAACTGCAGACGTGCTACTCACACATGCATTTTTTTCAAGAGACTTTTCATTTATTGATTTCTGCAATACCTAGCAGTACTGCTTGTGTTGGCAGACAGTTCTGATAATCCTATATTTTAATGCTATTTTAGTCACATATCCTTCATAAAAAAAAAAAGAAAAAGAAAGCGTGTTGTTCCTAGGTGGAAAATCAGGGCATGCTGTAAACAATGATTAGAAAATGTCACAGGAAAACACTATTAGAAAATTGCATTTAAGTTTTAATACAGAAACCAAGACAGGAGACTACGAATAATCTGAAATCAATATCAAACTGTAAGGTCAGGTAATCTGATAACATTGTAAGATGAGCACAAGGTTTTCTGTGCTTGAAGTGGCAAATCAGTTTGTTTACCCTGGAATGACCATAATCTAAAATGTTAGACTTGTTGATCTCTGTACTGACTATAGCTGAATGCTAGTCAGTATCTTTTACATGGGACAAATATTTTGTAGCATTTTTTTTAGCTCTGAAAATCCTAACAATACTAGGCCAGAAGGGTTTCCCCAACCTCCTTTTACTGAGGAGGTATTTAATCTCTGCAAGCAATATCTGTTCTGGGAGCCAAACTAACTAAGTGACATAGGCAATTGGTTTGGCCTCCAAATAAACTCCAGTTTATTTGGATTCCTGAACTACACTCCCAGTGCCACTTGAGGAACTTCATACAGCATTACCCTCCAACATCTGATTTGTGAGTGTCCTTAGGAAGAAGGCAGCAGTTATCTTTGCCTCAGGCATTATTATCCCTCTGTTCACTGCTTTTCCACCTGGCAGGCCAAATGTCAGACCTACTCGGTATATGGTAGCTTAAGGTTTTGCAGCAGGTCAGATCTCAAGTGAACATGGCTCCTGTGCACTAAAAATGTGCGCTTGATTCTAGACAGCTCAACTGTGTGTATGGCACTAACGGACAGTTCATTCACATATATAAAAATGCTCTGAAGAACAGAGCCCATGATTAGTCCCAGTGAACTCAAAGATACCACTCGTGTTCCCTGTTTAAGTAACATGTGTGTTTATCTACACCTTTGTAACCCTCCATGGATATACGGACGGGTTTCCCCAAGCACGTGTCTATGCAATGAAGTAGGATTAGTGAACAAAGATTCCCTATAGTGTGATCTCAAATAAATGCTATGCTGAAACTTTACATTCAACGTGGTTTATTTATTCATCAGTATTAACCTCCCCCTCCCCTTTTTTTCCCCCCAAAATGAACATTTGTATCTGCTTCTTGCATGTCAGAATAAAAGAAATGATGAAGTATTTTACTGTTAAATGAAAATCCTGGATTGAAAGTTGTATTAACAGTCAAAAGTAAACCAACACATACTGCACAAAATGTTTAAAGTGCAAGTTTTCCCTTTCAAGTTCCTTTAAGAAAATATTGATTGTGTAACATTTAATATGAAATACGTTAGAACTGTTTGAAATGTATTGGCACCTGGGGAATCATGCTATGGACTCTGGAAAATCCAGAATATGCAGCAAGTCATAGTGACCTCTGCTAAGTTACACCATCTCCAGCAGTGCTTTGAAACAGAGTCAGTGGAGAGATTGGCACTAACTCAAACAGGTTTAGGATTAGGCTGTGATACACAGCTTGATCTATATAGAATACCAATATTTTTACAGTAGTGTTTAATAAAAAATAAAAAAACAAAAATACTTCATTATTGTCATAAAAATGTCCTGCATGCTGCTGCAAATTCTCAGCATGTGATTTTTTTTTACCCACACTAACAGAAACATGTTGCAAGATGATGGAAGAAATTTTAAGAAAATTGCCTTACGATTAGAAATATTAAGACATGATCAGTGGAAGACTGCAAATTCTCAAGGGCAACAGAGACAAAATGTACCATGGGAAATGGGAGAAAGAAACATTAGTGGATAAATAACTGAATTATCTTAGACAACATTTAAATTATACTGTTTCCCAGTGGGTACCACTTTTCTTCATTTAGCTGGACACTGCTCAGCTGGATGTTAACGGCTCCCACAAAAGCTCCTTTGCTTTTCACAACAAGCTTCAGGACACGTCCTTTGAGCTCTCTGACTGTGTCATATACAACCTGCAATTATACACAGAGAAACACAAAAAGCCTTTGCATATGCGAATCTATTTGATGGGTAAAACACTCTCATATATCATTCAGGATATGTATTACAACTTTCCAGTAACTGCTTTAAACTGTCCTCCAGAACTGTAAACCATTACCTGTGAGCCAAATTAGTGCATTTACCTTAGAAATATGTTTGACTTCATGTAGTTTAAACAGAAAAGCTTCTGCCTGTTTAGGCTGATTACTGAGTGCTTGTAAATAAATTCAAAACCCATATTTGCAAAGCTTGTGGAAAAAAAAAAAAGATTTTGAACTCAAATGTGAAGAAATTCCAGATCCTTCATGAAGTCCACCAGGATACTGTTGATTTTAGGAGGGAGACATTCAGATGGAGGATACATATCATGGAGAGAACTATGAAACTGCAAGATAGGTAATTCTAGAGGAGTATAGATTATTATAATGTTGAAATACCTTTCCATAGCAGATACTTCCATATATTGTATTGCTCTTCTCTGAAGATTAAACAAGCAAGAACACTGTTTTAATGCCAAGTACACAATTTTTTTTGCAGATCTTTATTTTGTATTTGGGACATCCTGCTTAGTAGTGCTCAAGGGACTGATACATCTCATAAAGGCACACCAGTGCAAAGAAAGTCAAAATACTGTTCCTCAGTACCCTACTTGCCTCTGATTAAATCTTGCACTACTCACTAAAATTAAAAAAGCCAAAGCAAAAATGAGTCTTCTTTTCACCAAGACTCTCATGAGACTTCATAATTGGTCTAGATCAAAAACAACCCCCACAAAAAGTTAGAGAATATTTTTTTTCTTTGAAAATTGTGCGCATAAATGGTACCATTTCAATGCAAATATCCCAACGTGTGATTCTGAACTCATCTTGCTAACTGCATCCAAATGTGTCCACTGTAAAAATACTTCCAAACTTTAATGGAAACATCAAATAGCAAACACGATACGTATTTCAGGCCACTCGGTACAAGTTGTAAATGTGGAGAATCTTCAAGACTGAGCCCAATTTGAGACTGCGGAACTGACAGAATTAAGATGTTTCTGTTACTCACAAATTGCTGTTAATTCTGCTCAAATTAAAGGAGACACCTTGCTTAACATCTCTTTAGAAAACTACAAAGACCTATGGTTTAAAAAATATCCTTGAAATTACCTTGATACTATGAAAGCACACTGGGATTAATTAGGAAGTGTGAATGTCATATTTCTGAATTAAAATAAAAAAATCTGGAGGGATAGCCTAGCCAGAAGGGGCTGCATTCAGCATTGATACCTGTGTTTCAATCTCCACATTAATCAAAAGCTTCTGAGTGTTCTGCGTACTGGTTGATAAAATGTGGAAGAACACTACTAGCTACTTTTAGGTCTCAAAGGAAAGCTTTGTTAGGAGAAATACATTTCATCTGAAATCTATATGGATGGAAATGTTTTTCCTAATGTAGCTGCATTGGAGGATATGTTTTTCCTAATGTAGCTGCATTGGAAAAGTACTTAAGTTTTATAAGGCTCAGCCCCAGCAATGCTCCTTGCTTGGGGTGGCTCTGAAGTTCACAGATGGACCTGGCAGACATGAAGTTGTTGGTTCTCCCACACAGCACGAACGGGCGAAGGGGCCAGCGCTGGGATTGCTGGAGCACTGTGTCCCAGGCACGGCGTCCCCATGGCCCCTTCTGCCATGGAAGTCCCAACTGTGCTCTGCAAGTGCTATGAAATCTCCAGCCTGGTGGATCGCGGTAGCAGCGCGCTGGGGAGATGAGCAGCTCCCAGTCACGGGACACCAAGAGGCTCCACACTTTGATCGGTCACACACTTTGCAGTCCAGGGTGGGTGCTGCTTTCGGCTGATCCTAACACGCTGTTTCTAAAGTGGTATTGCAAATCCAGCCAAAACACCCTATCTATCACCAGGATGCCGACACAGAAAGAAGACTGAGTTCAGATAGCTACATGAATAGAACAAATACTGCCTGCCAAAATTTCTGTACCAGGCCAGATAAATCCTGAAATTGTTGTTTAGGAGTAATAGTTGCCTCCCATTTATCCAGCGAGTTTAAAGGGAGGTGAAACGCACGGGGCCAAATGGGAATGAGAGGAAGAGCTAGGCCTGCAGTTCAGGTGTTCCTGGCACCAGAAAGCAGCAGCACCGTTGACCCACAGGAATTTAATGACATTTTAATCACGAATGAGGGACAGTTGCTTCGCCTTATGTAGCCATGGCACGGCTCCTAGGCTTGCTGTTAAACTGCCCAGATCAGCCCTGACGCTCGGGGCCGCAGGGAGCCGCTCCGGCTCTCGCCACAGCTCCCTCCTGGCCCTCGCTCCGGCTTCCCGGGGCTCCGGCAGTTGGTGCCTGCGGCCCCACTCCTCCAAGGCAGCTGCCAAGGCCGTAACAGGCCCCATGGCCCTGGGGCATTTGCCCACAGTTGTCCCCCGCACTGGGGTAGGACGGATCCAATTCCCTCTCCCCCTGGCTTCTCCGGGGAAATGGTCTCTGAGCCTTGAGAGCCGCTCCTGCTGCGGGTTGCTCCATCCATGCAGGTGCTCAGGGACTGACCAAGGACAAGGCCTTGCAGCGTGCCTCATGGCCACGCGTTATGACCAAAGTTGCTGCTGCTTGTTCACATTTCTAAAGGTGAGAGTTTAAACTAAAATCACTCAGAGTTGTCTTCTGGTTTTTAATTTTAAATCACTCCGAATCGTCTTCTGGTTTTTAATTTTTCACAGTTTACTAATCTAGCCTGAGACTTCCTGAGCAGTTCTTATTTATTCCTTTCCATCTTCCACATGCAAATATGCTATTATTTTCCTCCTCTTCTTCTCAGTTGCCACTTTTTAATGCAATGTTATATCAAAAAGAATGCAACAAACTCCAAAATTCAAATACAGAAACAAGAGAAAAGAAAAAAGCAGTGCTTGTTAAAAGCAACTCTAAAATGTTCAGTATAGTTCATTCTACTGTCAGCCCTCCTGGACCCTCTCATCGTTACTCTCATACACACGAGCTAAAAAACAAAAATAAAAGCACTTTTGCAAGGTTGATAATTTGCTGTAGGCAGTTATAAGCAATAAAAGCACAAAACTAAAGCGAAAAACACCCAAGAGAGGCACATTTCAGAATTTTCTCAGTCTTGAACACAGAGGGAAATTAATATACAGCTTCCTTCAAGCCATTTGGCTTTAATAAAAACTTATGAACTCATAAGGAAAGGCTAGTACATTTCTGTACATAGCATTTTGGACAGTAAGTAACTTAAAAGACAGCTGACGTATTTTTAGATGTTTTCCCTGGGGCTTCTTCTGCCTCAGTCTACCAATCTTGGTCAGAAAATGCCTACAGAATGGTCTCACATATGGAAGAACAGAGCTGCTAATAGCGCAAGCATCAGGTCTGAAATGTCTGAGTTCAGCGGAACCATATGTCCCTGCTGTGATTAGCGTTCCCCGTAAAAACAGACTGAGCATCTGTGAATTAGGCTGTGAGTTTTGAGTAAAAGATACCGAAGATTTTGTGGAATTTCTCTTAACAGCAGAAGGATGCTCCTATTTCCTTCCCCACAACTGAATCCCTGTCCACTGAGTATGTCTGCCTCAAGACAGGATTTCGGAGTTTGTTGCACTCAGAATAGTATAAAAATGATCACAACGAAAACTGCCTTCTAGCATTGCTACGTGGTCCTTATCCGTGGTCCATTTTGGATCTGTTACAATTAATGACATTAGATAAACATATGATATTTCATGTGTTTGAATATCCTTCAGATGTTCCAGAATAATTTTTTGGGGGGGCCCATTGAACTAATCTTATTCTGCTAGTCTCTGATTACTAAAAAAAAAAAGGAAATAACATCAGAGCTCTTTGCTTTTAGTTCGCTTTTACTCCATTGCAGCATCACAGGGAGTGAAATCTGTCTCAGCTGCTAGCAACGATACTCCTTGAGGAGCCTACTTACAGCTGCACTGGAAGCTAGCGAGGTAAGTAGGTAACTTTTGTAATCAACTGGATGTGGGAAAAGAAGAAGCGCTATTAAAACCCCAGGATTGGGAAATTCGGAGATAAGAGCTCTCAGAGCCAGCTCACTAACCTAACCTTCAGCATACCTTATCTACCAAACAGGGTGGAGTGCTAATATTTTCCATGCCTGCTCTTTTGAAGCTTGCTCAAAGTGCTTTTGGAAATTGCTTTGAGATCCTTGGGAGGTTTTTCTATATGTAGTAATTCTCATCTCCAGTCCCACCTACTGCTTGAATCTTGTCTCTCCGTACCAAAGAATACAGTCTTTGCCTCTTCCCATTTTGTAGTAAATGTCTCTCTGTACAAATGTTTATTTTTACCCCAGAGATGGCAGCACTTCAGTGGTGAGTGAAATAATTATATAGGCTGTGAACTGCTAACATTTTGACACAAAAAGAGCTGGGTTATTTATTACATGTTATTATTTAGGACACTGAAAACCAATTTGGTTTTCTATTTTTGTATGTGCATGTGAATAAGAGGATCCTTTCACTTAGTACTTCTTATGTTATTATAAAAAATTGAATTAAAAAGTATCTACATTTTGATGTTTGGGCTCAGCTGTCTAACGTGTAACTATAATTACGGTATAAGACTGAAGAGTGTGAATAATCTAACCTCTTTGCTAAAGAGAAACATAAAGAGACTCTCAATTCAAAGAAAGAAGCAAAGCTGTACATATTTACGCTCCACCTTATGAGATGTTCTGTTCGATGGTACTCACTCTAACAGCTCTAAACACTGTATTTCATTGCAAGAGTGGACAAGGAAAATCAAATAAGAAATGACGGAGGAAAGTGGACAGTACTCACAATTTCATTGTAAGTAGGGTCAGTGCTTTTTGGAACTGCTCTTGTTTTCCTGCGAGTGACCTCATCAGGATCTGGTAAAAGATAAAATTCAGCATGTGCGCTTGGGGCAGAGCCATCTGGGAGGCGCTGGAAAATAAAAGGGTTATAAATATGAATGTCTATGTTCTAGCAAACAAAACAAATAAAGAGGTACCAAATGAAATCTAGACTTTAAGTAGACACAGAAATGTATTACATTCCCAGTACTCTCTTGGCTAAATTGGAGTGGTAATGTAGTAAACAACAGGAATTCTTAGACTTCAGCTTCATATTGAATCAGAAAAAATAAGCGGAATAATAAAAGTGCCTATCTTTAATACTTTATGTGTTGCAGTGGAAATCCCTTAAGCATCAATCTGCTTTAACTCGATATAAACTGATACAAAGCCTAGGCCTGCCATTTTCCAGAGCAGTGCTGAGAAACTGGACTCGGGCCAAGCAGCTCCTGCTGAGTTAACCCCTAAGTGGAAGTGCTGATGCTGGGGAGATCTGGTTGTTTCCAAGGGTGTTTCATGAAGGATTTTTCTCCCGGAGACCCGGGAGTGTTTCCCGCAGCAGTATCAGCAGGGATCTTCTAATAACAGAGTGTCCCATCGCACGGCTCTCTTTACCACTCCAGTTAAGATTACTTGTGATATCCCTGATATTCCAGTTTACGGTAGTCATTCCTAATCACAGCCAGTCTATTAACATGGCTCAATCATAAACTAATGCTGCCAGTGTGCAGTTTTTGGGATAACTTCTGAATAGGTGCAAGCTTATTGCTAAAGCAACCTTACAGTTACTCAGAAAACCCACTGGTAGCATGTGAGGCTTCAAAAGAAAATACAAGAAATATAACCATGAATAACAGGTATCCTCTGAGCATGTGTCAGCTGGTGCTTAGCTCACAGTGAAGCAGAAGCTTCTGTGCTGGTAACACAGGTGCAATCAGAAAGCAAAACATGGCACATAAAAGCACGTGTGTTTATCAAAATGTCAGCAATTTTAACAGTATTATCAGCATTTTAGGCAGCAAGTTTCTCTGCCAGTAAGCCAGCGACAGAATGCAAATGAAAATGCAGTCAAAAGAGAAAAAAAGGAGAGATTTTAAAATAGTTTGAGTAGATGAACGTAGATCATTATACAGGCAGTTGCTTTTATGCTTGCCACTGTATTTTCACCTGAACAAAGTCATTTCTCAGGTTTTGATTATTCACAGTACATAACTGGAAATAGGGACTTTCTACTGGCAGGATCAACAACATATCTTTGAGAAAGGAGAAACAACTGGTGTCCTAGCAATGAATAACTCTGCTACTGGGAAGAAAAACAGCAGTTGTATGTGTGAGCAACCAGTTATTGCATATCAAATCTCTCCTCGCTGATATCTGAAATGATCCTTCAAGGCAGATGATGTAGTCAACTGCATAGCTCAATATTGCTGTGGCTTATCCTTTACATCATTAAAGGACATACTCCTTAAATCACTGTATATTGTCACTCTGTGTGAACAATTAATTTTGCTATAGCCAAGCTCCCCCAAAGTATTTTTTATTTAAAATACATACAGGATTTAAATAAGCAGGATTGACCTACCAAAACAGGAATACCATTCAATGTCAACAAAACTACCGGGTATTTCCCTAGCCAGAGTACTATATATTGTTAACATAGTATTTATGATTTATACTATCTATTTAAATGCTCATCTCTATTGATCTACAATGATATTAAAACACCAATCAAGGAATACAAATAACAATAAACTGAACAACCTCTTGAAAATCAGGAACAAAAAGGAGATATAACATAAAGTATTAGTTGAAGCTCCCAGGATCCTCTCTGCAATCAGGCTCTTTTCCTCTCAAGGAAGGGTGTTGCTGTACCATGAAGGTCAGCAGATTTGGGTTCTTTCAGAGACAAAGGGGAGCATTCTTTAGAAAAGAAGGGCAGAGAGGAGGTGGGTCATGACAAAGGCCATTGTTCGTGTTCAGCAGAAGCTCAGCACAAGAATCTCCACCATCTGCACATCCCCCTGCATCGCACAGCACTGCAAAACAGGGAGAGTCCCGTACAATTTAAGGCTTTATCCCAGCAGTCTGCACCTGGAACAGGCAGCCTCTGTCAGCTGCAGTGCGAGGAAGCCAAGCTGATGGCAGTGTGATTGCTCAACAGGACCTGGGTATCTGAAGAGGAGTGCTATGAATTGGGGGGAAAACACCCCCTAAAAATAAAAAAAAACAAAAGCCAGATAAAATCTTTGCTGCACCTTTGAGTTGCTCCTTGTGTCCTAGTCACGATTCCAGCATATTATCCAGCCTTCAGCCAACAAATCTTCCTGCACCAGCCAGCTCCTCCCTGATTTTAAGGAAGGCACACTGCTGTGGGCATATGAAATGTGGAGAGCAACCTCAGTCCTTGCCGTCCCTTTGAATGCAGCTAGCTACATGTTCAAAGAGGTGAGTGGGAGGAAAGGGTCACGAAAGAATAGCAGAAAAGAGAATATTTTAGCAATTCACAGAAGAAAACTCAGGGCAGAGCAGTTGCTCTGGGATCTTTCAGAACTAAAAACAAAGCCACTTTTCATGAATAGTCGCAATCAGCAGAACAACTGTTAGTCAGTTTAAAGGGCAGCCACCTGAATTCAAACTAGAGATCTTAGCTCTGGCTGTCAGGGGATTTTTTTCTACTTTAAGGTAATATATTTCTGCTTCAGCTAGCTTCCCTTGACGAGAGACACTGGCCAGGCGAACTCGAAATTTCTACAAGTCTCCCAAGCCTCCATCTGCAATGACTCTGTTATGCCATCAAGGGATTAAAGAGCTTCAGCAAGTACTTGCTAAGGACTCTGCAAGCCAGGTCACACCTTTGTTTCCTTAACTGTCCTCTGTAACTGGTAACATGACCCAAAACATCTATAAAAAATACCCAGCTTTTAAAAAGGTTCTCACCTATCACAAATCCATCATTCAAAACTCTAGAGGAAGAGCATATACAAATCAGCTGGAGCTTTGGGTAGGCCAAGGAATACTGGACAACAGTGGAGCATCGGATAATAATATGACTGGCAGCTACACTAGTTCTAAGCTTCTTTACTTGGTGGGACTAGTCCAGCTCATTTTCTGTAGATGCCCTTTTGAAAGTCCTTCAGACATGTCACATCTGCCTATGACAAGAGTTGCAATTGCCATGGAAGGAGCTGTACTTGGTCAGATCCTCTGTACCAACATAACAGGAAAAAGAGAATTCTGGGGGAAAGCTAGTCCTTTGTCAAGGTTTTAACATGTGATTTGAACAGCTGTTTAAATGAAGAAGAATGGAGAAAACATCAGGTTATTTTTTTATTCCTAAATATGAAATCTTCGGTTGTATTCCACAATGTCACATTTACCAAGCAAAAACACTGAATATTCTTTCACCCTTAACTCAGTGAGCATTGGCAGATTTACATTATATATTAAATAAATACGAAGAATATCTGACCTAACTGCCAGTTTCATTTGCTGCAAAGAATATTTTTTTTCTGATGGGTTCATTATTTTAACATTTCTAGACTTACACAGAGTAAGATTTCCAGGAGCCTTAAGAGTCAGTTCTGAAATCCAACATGAAAATCTTCTGTTATTAATGGATCAAAAATCACTGATATCTTTCCATAGCCTAGGCCAACATGAAAACCAGAAGGTCCTTTGGGAATGCCATTTTTCACATTAACCATTCTACAAAACTGTTACAGCTTGAATGTGTTTGTGGTTAAGCAAGCATTGAATTTTGTTTATATTTAAATCTGCAGTCACTTCACTAAGCCCAAAGGAGTAGACTAAGTCTCCTGTAAAGAAAACAGATTACTTTTGAAAATGTTTAAAAGAAGTTACTCCTAATTTAAATGCATGTTCTAGAGTGCAGTTTTACCAAAAGCCTTCGTTCTTCTGTTGTGTACACTTGAAAATGAATTCAAGCTGTAAAAAATGCATAGGCCTGCAAAAATATAATACCAAGTTGCCAACAGAAATACCATTGCTTTCCTATGCACAAACCCCTCAGTGATTTTGATCTGGAGATAAAAAAAAAAAAAAGAAGAAAGTAGAATTATTTTGGAAGCTGACACTGTGTGCTTTTTTCAAATCCAAACAAGTGACTACCATATGATTTTCTTGGAGAATTACCTGCCTACCTGACTATGACAATGGCTGATGTTTTGAAGGAGCTGAGTTACGATTGTCTATACAGATACTTTTTAAAAGACAGTTTCTTTCTGAAATGTTATTTACCTCTAAAGCAATATGAGTGCTGAATATATTTGAGAGAGAGGGAAAAAGAGAGAGAGAGAGAAAGCAAATAATACTTTGGGACTTACTTCCCTCCACACCTGTAATTCAATACTGAAAAACTAATCCAGAGATATATCTGTTATGGCTATGTTCCATTATTCATTCCAAATTTGTTCTCCAAAACAAAAAGAGTATTGATATTTACTTACAGAAAAGCATGCAGAACGATAATGACTGGTGTAATTCAATTTTAAATATATCAACTATAGTGGGGAAATAATGGATGAAATTCAATTAATTCTTCTACAAGAACTACATTATCCTAATGACTTTTCTCCCTTGATCTTTACTAACTATCCAAAACTCTCCTTAAGGATGGATTCATTGTTAACATTAAAAAAGGCGTAACTGCTTCTTCAGAATTTGCCATATTTTAAACTATGCCGTTTAGCATAAGCATGAGCTCAGATGAGTTCTAAGGGCAATTTTTTGATGGCAAATGGACACTTCAGGGATAATTTATGGAAACACTTGTTTAAACTCATTTCTTCCCAAATGCCAGAAAAGTTTCTTTTTAGGTGACTCATCGTTCAGAGTCAAGTTCATCTTGGTCTTAGACATGCAAATATTTTCCCACCTTTTGTCCTGGTGGAAAACAGTGGTGGCTCCTGAACACTGGATAGGTCCAGCTGCTGTTCTCTTTCTCCCCATTTTTCATTTTCTGTCATCTTGACAGAAAAAAAAAATGATCAAAGGTGACTTGCATTTACTAATGCCACCTTTGCTCCTCCGCAAACGACTTGCTTTCTTCCTTCAAAATTAATTTATTGGACA